TAAAAATAAAAAGTCCCAAAAATGCCAGAAATACCTTAAAATGCAAGTTTATGCCGCAAAACATCCTGCCAAGTGAATAATTTGTGCTTCCAACAAATATTTTATATGAATATTTCAAAATATTTCATAAATATCACCCAAAAACATGCAAGACTATAGTCTTGTATGTGATATTTTGTCATGTTCATATATGGTTGTTAGGTTTTCATCTATGAGGAATTTGTTTTGGTATACAATGCAGCATGCAAACACATGAGGGTGGCATGTGTATTATTACATTTCATTACATTACAATACATTAGCAGACACTTATGTCCAAAGTGACTTACAATTAGAGTCAGTCAATCAACAATCAAGCTACAGTAAACATACAAAATACAAAAATACATACATTATAAATAACAAAAAATAGTAATGAATAATAATAAATAGTAAAAGTACTGTTATAGTCATAATAGGTCATGGATTAAGAAGAATAATATGTCCTAAGAGTATGTCGTAAGAATATATCATGAGTATGTTACAAGGACATTAGGTCATAAAGTAAGAAAAGTTGCTGTTAGATGTGAGTGGGTTTATTAGTATGGAAGATGTTCTTTGAAACGTCTCCCCTTGTCTGTCCGCATCTCGTTCACTTTACTTTGCACCGTTATATACTTGCTGTAAAGTTCATGCTCTTGTGTTTGGTGAAAGTTTATCCTAATTTAACGCCCTCTGATTCCTCCTGATCGCTCTGCATCTTCTCAGGTATCTGTTAAGAAGTCCAAACAAAGACACTAACACAGATGACAGTTATCAGCCTTTATTTTTCTTTACAATAATGTGCTTTCATATACTCTTCTCTTTGGTCAAGGCTCCTACTAATATAAGGAGAGGCTTGATTACTCCAATTGTGCTCACCTGCGTCCAGGGCTGCACCTGCGTCGACACTCCCGTGCTCTACCTCCTGCAGCTGAGCGCTAACCTCCGCAGCTCCCCCACAATTTACATAATAGGTATGTCTTATATTTCCATTCTATATTATGTTATATTTCAACTCTACTGTGCCTATAATTCTGTGGAAAACGGTAATGCCGTCTAGGGAGGGCTGAGAACTGTGTGGGGGAGGTCCGTAAAGGATAAATGGAAATGTAAATAATATAATAACTATCTTGCCTCTACTTCGTGGATTTTCTCTTTTTGCAGTCTTCGTCTTGGAACACAGTATTTTTCGAGAAACTTTTATTTTCAGAGATTTGTTCAGGAACTTATTGGTGTAGTATTTTACTGTGATCAGAAGGTGGCGTACCAAAAAAGTATATTTTTTCTAAATTTTAACCACAAAAATGAACATAGCTAAGTATTTTAAGGCAAATTAGTGCATTTTTAGTCAATTTTGAGAAACTTTTTTTTTCGGAGATTAGTTCAGGAATTTATTGGTATAGTATTTTACTGTGATCAGAAGGTGGCTTACCAAAAAAGTATATTTTTTCTAAATTTTAACCACAAAAATGGACATAGCTAAGTATTTTAAGGCAAATTAGTGTATTTTTAGTCA